TTAATTTCCAACCGAAGAATGGAAAAATCACAGTATTTTTATACAGTGAATGTAACATTAAAAATAAACAAAAATTCGGCTTTGGGTGGGAAAACCAATGTGGTGAAGTGGGTAGGCTAGTGGCAAGTTGCCCAGGTAGAGCCCTGGGTGTTGCCTGTTGCTGTCCAGGGTGGTGGTGCCTCTGGTGGGGGCGTCCGAGGCGGCAGTCCTTGCCTGGCCCTGGTGGGGGCGTCCCAGGCGGCAGTCCTTGCCTGGCTCTGGTGGGGGCCTTGAGTTTTGCGTCCCTGCTGCCTTTCTGCCTCCCAGTGATGCTGGGCACAGGCCTGGGGCATGTGGCCCCCCAGTCTGGCCACACAGTGCTCCTTGACCCAGGTGCAGTCTCCTGCTAGTTCATTCTTCCTTCATCATTTTATTATTTTTTAATATAATTCTGAGAACATCTCTGAAGCCTCCTTACAGCCTGAGCAACAGCATCCATCTTCCTGTGTGCGCCTGCCCTGCCCACCTTCCTGGGTTACCCTCCACCCAGATAAATACTGTTCTGAGTCGTGTGCTACCCTTTTATTGTTGGATATGATCTTGCCACCACATCTTCTTTGCTCAACTCTTTTTGATCATGTTTTTGTTGTCCTGGTCTCATGCCCTGTGAAGCTTAAGGAACTTTCCTTTCTCTCAACACTGATTGCAGAACCTATCTGTGCTCTGGGTGCAGCTGTAACTTGTTTATTTTGCTTGCTGTATTTCGTTTTGGTCCAAATTCGATTTTCCCATTTTCACCTTAAACATTTGGGTCATTTTTAGTTTGCTGTTGTTTCTGGACATGCTGGTCTCGTTTCTTGGTGCTCATTTTTTGAGCTTTCTAGCCCCTCCGAGAGAGATCTATGTCCATAATACCTGCATGTGTGTGCACACAAGTGTCTGTGCAGGTGCCTGTGCATGTGTGTACATGCATCTAGATGTGCATATGTGTGTGCATGTGCACATGTGGGTGTGTTATATAAATATATCTGTTGTGTATGTATGTACTCGGTGTACGTGTGTGCACTCATGTGTGTGTAATACATTTGTATGTGTGTACACACATACTGTGTGTGCACATGCCCTTGTGTATAGATCTGTAGGGACTTGTGTGCATGCAGTGCAGTTGTGTGTGTGTGCATGTGGTACATTTGTGCATGTATGTGTGCATGTGCACTTGTGTGTATGTGTGCACGTGCACTTGTGCATGTATGTGTATACTCAAGTGTGTGCACATGTACTCGTGTGTGTGTACATGTGTACATGTGAGTGTATGTGTGCAAGCACTTGTGTACATGAGTGTGCACTGTGTGTGTGTATGCATCAGGTTGTGAATGTGCACTGAGTGTGTGTGCATCATGGATGTGAGTGTGCATCGCATATGTGAGTGTGCACTGTGCGTGTGTGAGCACCATCTATGTGATAGTGTGCTGTGTGTGAGCATCGTGCATGTGAGTGTGCACTGTGTGTGAGCACCATCTGTGATAGTGTGCTGTGTGTGCATGCATCGCGTATGTGAGTGTGTGCTGTGTGTGTGAGCACCATCTATGTGATAGTGCACTGTGTGTGCATGCATCACGTATGTGAGTGTGCACTGTGTGAGCATCATCTGTGTGTGCAAGCATCATGCATATGAGTGTGCACTGTGTGTGTGTGAGCATCATTTATGTTATAGTGCACTGTGTGTGTGCGAGTGTCGTGCATGCGAGTGTGCGCTGTGTGTGTGCATGCATTGCATGCATGTGTTCATGTACTGGTGTCTGTGAGTGCAGGAGTTTCTCTTAGGCACAACCTTGCTGTGAAGCTGTGGAGTTACAAATCTGTGGGACAAGCCATGTCCCTGAGACAGGCGTCACCAGAGGTCATCAGTCACTGTGATTCTGACAGGTTCACTGTCCCCCATATGACAAGGGAGAAGAGCAAGTATGAGAGGAGAGGTGCAGACCAACACACCAGCCTGCTGGACAGTCGCTTAGGTTTTTGGTGGGGGCCAGGGAGGGAGTGGGGGCAGCATGCTCTCTGGGCTCAGGCCCTTCACCAGCTCTGCCTTGCTCAGCTGCCTGTCGGTTCTAATTCCAAGTAACTGAAGCTCTCTGTTTTCTTGCTGACTTGAGGATCAGTATCAACAGCATCTTAGGAAGTGTTTTTCCTGTGCATAGATTGGTATACTTTATTTTTAGAAAGTTACTGGAGTGAGATACTCTGTGTACGGATGCTGCATAATGCTGTGCTGTCCTGGTATGCGATGAGCCACCAAGCTCTGTCACTTTACTTTGTCACTGTGATGAGTGCAGTCGGCCTCATGGAGGGGCTACCCTGGGCCATTCTCTGTGACCTCTGACCTTCCTGGCAGCAGAGCACTGCTGCGTCTCCACAGCCCCTCCATGGTACAGGGAGCTCTTGGGAGCCACAACAGAATCTGTCTGCCTAGGGCGGGGGGCCTGCTGTCACTGTGGGGTCACACGTGAGAGCCCAGCTGGTCTCCCCACCCTCTTATCTGTGAAAGAAAGCTGTGTGTCCCTTACTGCTGAGTCTGTTTGAGTTGAGCTTTAGGAATTTGCTCTGTTTCATGGAAAAGTGAGCCGGATACAGAAGGCCCCAGGTTAATGATATGTACTTTGGCAGCTAATGTAATTGCGGAAATTATAAATCACTGGCCATCTGATTTGTTTGCAAATAAAAAGTGATGAAGGTGTTTCTGACAAGTTGCTTTGTGTCCCCTCCTCACCAGCCCCTGCCCTGGCCCGAGTCACCCCCAAGCCTTTGTGCACACAGCACCCTCAGGGAAGGGACTATACTCAGCAAACATGTGCTTTATGATCCCAGCATTGTGTCCTTTTCTGTTTGAGCGTGTACGAAATGGTCTCCTCCCTCCGTTCTGACTTGAATGTGTTTGCAGAGTGGGCCAGCTGCTATCAGAAGTCAACTCCCAAAATCAAACTCAGTGGCACAGTGTGGCTGTTCATCACATAACCAGACTGTAGCTGGGGCTGAGAGTTCCCTTTAATAGCTTCTTGCAAACACACATCTCAATGGCTGTGGTCACCAATGGTATAGTGGCCCAGGGAGTGGAGGCACCATAGGAGTGTGGCCCCTGCCAGGTCCAGGTCAGCAGGGTCTGGCCCATCCAGTAAAATCCAGCTTCTCAGGCTCTTACCCCATGGCTGTTGTCATAGCAGAAGTGTTACGGCCACTGGCTTGCGTGTCACTAATGCAGGATCAATAAGCACTCTTGGCAGTCTGGTCCATAAATATGTAAAGAGTATCTTAGTTGTTTTTAATGTAAGGGTCAAGGAGTTCGTATTCTCAGATGTGGCTAACACACTATGGACGCAGCCTGTGGTTGGAGGCCTGGGTGGGCTGGGAACTAGTCAGCAAGCCCTGGTGCCTTTCTCACCTTCTGGTATCCCATGACACTGTGTGTCCTGAAACCGTGTCAACAACAGGGTGAACACTGGATACTCTGGGCTGAAGTTTGACTTTAAATATTCAGCAGAGCTACCGTGTTTCCCTGAAAATAAGACACTGTCTTGTATTTATTTTTTCTCAAGAAGACGCACTAGGGCTTATTTTCAGGGATGTCTTCCTCTCCACACCGAAATGCATGGCGTGACTATGGGGATATGCTGCACAGCCATACCCATCAATAGGTCTTATTATTGGGGTAGGGCTTATATTTAACAAATGCATAGAAATCCTGCTAGGGCTTATTTTTTGAGTGGGTCTTATTTTGGGGGAAACATGGTAATTGTGGATTCTCTGACTTTATGAGTTTCACTCCTGTGCACACATTTGCTACTCATTTTTCATTTGTTTATTATAAACTTCATAACACAGAGGATGCTGATAAAATGGACACGCATTTTAAGAAAGGAAAGAACTGTATTAAAATAGTTAATCCCCAAGTCACATTTGACTCTGCACTTACAAGAGACACAAGATATGGCATATAAGATAACAGATGTTACTGGCATGTGTGAGTACTCCAATTTTAATAGTTTTTTCCTTTCTTAAAGTGTGTGTCCATTTTTTGGCACCACTTGTATTGTATTAGCTTTATCACATATACTGAGGTGACAATTTCACTGTTTGTGGTGACGCTTATTTGCTTGTACTTTTTCAGAGTGCTTTCTTTATATGAAACAAATTAAAGGACATCCTTTGTAAGGGCTGATGTCCGTGGCATAGACATGGGTCCAGGCCTGCAGCCTCCTCCCCTAACTCTGTGTGGTGTGTGTCTGTTCCCTTGTCCCTCTAACTAAGAAGGGCCTCAACTCGACTTTCCCAGAGTAAGAAAGTCGAACACTGCCTGTTGCAGGATAAGCTGGGAAGGAGGCTCCATCCCCATCTGAGTGGGAGGAGCAGGGCAGGTGTACAGAGTCCCTCCCACACCAGTATCTCACTGCCTGTCCATGTCTATTCCGTGGTGAGCCTTCCTGATGCTTGAATTGTACGTGAGAAAATGCTATGTACAATTTTGTAACCACCAACTGCCGTCTAATTGTAGAGTATTTTTATCACTCCAAAGTTTCCCTAGACCCCTTATGGGGTTGCCAGATTTAGCAAAAGTAAATAAAACATATATATACAGTAGAACCTCCACAGCCGGCCACCTCCTTACATTGATCTGCATTTCACAGACCAGATGCACCACGTGTGTGCATTGCATGGTTAGTCTGGCTCCTGTGCTGACCCCTCTGTGTGTGACCAGAGTGTTACAGTCCCTGGCGGTCATGCAGAGGTTCTGCTACCCTTACATACGTGGCTTCACACTCTCTCTGTATAAACACCATGTCACATTTGGACTTCAGAGCAACGTGTGCTTGGGCTTGGTTGTGTTTGGGTGATGGAAGGTTATCTGTGGTGGACATGGTATCTCGGTGACTGTGGTTACGTCCACCTAGTTAAACTCTCACTTAGAACTTCGCTTTAGAACTATCACAGCACCGGTCTCTCATTTGCTTTCTCTTTTTGCTCTACAGGCACTAGGAAGCTTTTATTTTCTTCACGAATCCTTAAAAAACATCTACCAATTTGACTTTAAAGGTAAGAGTCCTTGTCGTCTTCTGGGACCTCCCATCACAGCAAACTTCCTTCCTCCCGGTGGTCTGGTCCCTTCCCCCTGTATCCCGTGGGTGGGCTGTGTTGTCTGCTTTTCTTGAGTCACTGGCTAGCAGTCATGAACTGGGGACCCCTGAGAAAGTCTGGCTTTTGTGGATGGAGACACCCAGACAGCCCTGGGCCCCCTCAGCTGCCCCACCCACTGGTGGCCCCAGGGCCACTGCTGTACCTGGCAGGGCTCAGGTGGGAGCTTTGGTTTTCCTAGAGTTGAGAGAGGCATCCATGTTCGTGTCAAACGTAAGAAAATGAAAAACAGAATGAGGGGATTGTGTATTTCAGAGACAAAAACGGGCAGGACCACGTGCATGGCAGTGAACATTGTCTTCGTCTGATGGGCAGACACTGCACTCCTGTAAAGCGAAAGTTTGCCCCAAGACGCTCCTGCCAGGGCAGGCCTGTTTCATGTCACCTGTCCCTGTGTCTGTGACTGGTAAGAGTGTTAGTGGCAGGTATAGATTTCCATCTATCCAGCGCTCACATTTTCATCCTCACTGCTGTGTCCTTTCCTATGTGGAGATCCATCTGAGCACGCAGACTCTGCAGCCAGAGCACATGGACCTGAAATGTAGCTGAGAGCAACTCACACGTGGGACAGTTCAGACTCATCGTGCTGCTCCTCAGGAGACAGACACTTCTTATGGGTCTTCTGTAAAGAGCTTGACTAATGATTTTGTGGTGTTGCCAGCAGGGCTCTAGCCGACAGAACAGCTTCTCTCCTGCCCTGTCACTTGAGGATTCTTCAGGTACTTTTAAATACTGGTATCTGACTCTGCTTGCCGTGGCGGGAGGCAGGCCCAAGGCCACCCTGTTCTTCAGTAGCTAGTGGACGTCAGCGTGTCGCCCTCTCAGCAGAAGAGCCCCAGGGAGCACACGGTGCAACACGGCACGTGCCTTGTGAAGCTGACCACAGAACGGGGGCTGCCCTCAGAGAACGTGTGTTCCAGCTTTCACACCTGTCCTGCTCTTCCTCTCGGGAGCCTTCTGCACACACGTTTTCCCGCTGAGTCAGATCAGTCAGAAAGCATTTAACCCACAGTTCACTTAAAACTGCGTGCTAGAGATGGTTTAACTCTGGCAAACCTCACCCGGGGCCTTCACATGGTCAGCACTGATGCCAGTAACTGGGAACGGACAGCAAGTGTGTCTGGAGCAACATGTCCAGATTCTGAAGAGGCTCATGATAGTGACTCTGCTAACCCTCAACATAGATGGGGGACCTGGGGGGATCTCAGCTGGAAGGGTTTGGCGAAGGATACTCAGGTTGGGGGCTCAGATTGAGGAGGGCTCAGGCTGAGGGACTCAGTCTGGGGCTCAGGCTTGGGGACTCAGGTTGGGGGGGTCAGGTTAGGGGCTCAGGCTGGGGGAGTCAGGGTGGGGAGGTCAGGTTGGGGGCTCAGTCTGTGGGGGCCAGGTTGGATTCTAAGGCTGGGCTCAGGCTGGGGTCTGAGGCTGGGACTGTGCCCTCCCACTCCTCACCCCTGCTCTTCTGCCTTGTGCTAAGTTGCAGCAGAAGGAATCTGGGATTTGTGAAAAGCTTGAACTATTTAAAAGTAATAGCTGTAAGTTTTTAAAATAAAGACCCAATTAGAAATCCAGGGAGGAGCCCCAGGAGGCCCAGAAAAATAGTAGTGAAGGGGCTTCCAGTTTGCATCCCAGCACGCGGAGTTTGGAAGCTCTCATTCCCATTCTCACGAGAAGAAAGCTGAACAAACTGGAAAGACAGGGTTCCTCAGAGAATCAGGGACATGGCACACTGCTGCCCTGCAGCATGGCAGCCAGATGGGTAGATGCAGGAGGCACAGCTCCCCAGGAGTGGGAGCTGCCCTGAGCTAGCACTAGTAGGGCCACTGACGGGTTCTGACCAGGTGCTGGAGACAAGTGTGGCCATGCTGGAGAGGAGCCTCCTGGGGGCTCACTCTGTAGGGTTCACCTCCAGGAGCTTGAGCATTCCCATGTGAAGAGATTGAAGGGAAAGGGAACCCTCAGAAATGCACCAGGACCCTGTTCTCAGCAGTGCGTGCTGTCAAGGAGTGCTCGCCAGAGCCTCACTTGCACAGGAAAAGGGAGACACAGGCTGCAGCCCCAGGCCCTCCGTGCAACCTGAGGTCTGGGGGCAGGTGCTGGGAGTCACAGGACGAGGCTGCATCCCTGGAGCACAGGCTGCTCAAAAGTGGGGCCCCAAACCTCATCACCAGTACCTCAGCAGTAAGAAGGAGTTACAACTGAGAGCCCCGCAGAGCTCACACTGCTCACACACCTCGCAGGAAACCAGACAATAAGGAGAGAGGCTGGAACAGCAGAGCATGTTCTCAGGTCTGGTACCAGGAGCTGCAGGACTCAGCCCCAAGGCAGATGAACATAAAACCCCACACTGAAGACTGTTTACCACAGTTCCTCTTACCAATTATTCATGTTCTACTTTCAACAAAAAATTACAAAGCATGATGAAAGGTTTAAAAAAAATACAACCTGAATAGGGGGAAAGCCCTAAGAATCAGGCCCAGACTCAGATATGGCAGAGGCATGGAATTACCAACCTGGTAATTTAAAAGAACTGCGATTAATATGCCAAGGGCACTAATGCAAAAAGTGGACAATGTGCAGAAAAAGACGTGTAATATAAGCAGAGCGGTGGAAACTCATAAAGGAAGCAAAAGGAAAACCTAGAACTTACAAGCACAGCAGCAGAGGTGGAGATGCCTGTGATGGCTGCGCTGGAGACTGGACGTGGCGAGAGGGAGTCAGTGCGAGGGGAGGTCAGTCGTTAGAAACGTCACAGACTGAAAAGCAAAGAGAAGAAGAGCAAGTCTGAGTATCAGAACAGAATGTCCAAGAACTGTGGGAACCACAGAAGGCACAGCACACGGCTGGGGGTTATCAAGTTGAGGAGGTTTTCCTCTCTTCCTACTTTGCTGAAAAAAATTTTTTTAATCATGAATGGGTTTGGGATTTTGTCAAATGCTTTTTATGCATTTGTTGATTATTATTATATGATTTCCCTTCTTCAGTCTGCTGACATGATAGATTACGCTAATTGATTTTTAAACGTTGAACCAGCCTTCACGCCTGGAATAAATCCTAATCAGTCATAGTGTATAATTCTTCTTATACATTGTTGGAGTCAACTTTATAACATTTTGTTGAGAATGCTTCTATTTTATGAAATAAAGTAAATCCAAAGTAAGCAGAAGAAAATAAATTATAAAAATGGGAGCAGAAATCAACAGAGTTTAAAACAGAAAATCAATAGAGAGAATTAATAAAACTAAAACCTGATTCTTTGGGCAGATCAATTGACCTTTAGCCAGACTACCAAGAAAGAGAAAAGAAACAAATTACTGATAATCAGAAATGAGAGAGAAGGGACATCCCTGCTGATCCCTCGGCAGGAGAGGATGGGGAGGGCCCCGCGGGTCTGTGACTGCGGGTGGGCTGCGGGCAGTTTTCCTTATGTGTAACGTCTTTTCTTGGTTTTGGTATCAGGGCGATGCTTCCGCCTCATAGAATGAATTAGAAAGTTTTCCCTTTGCCTGTAGAGATTGTAGAGAACTGGTATAATCTCTTCCTTAACTGCTTGGTAGAATTCACCAGACAAACCTCTCTCCCAGAATGTTCTTAGTGATTCCTGCAATTCATCAGAGGCCTCAGGCCCCTCAGAGCCCTGGTCTTCCTCACAGGCCTTTCATAGATTATGTCTCTCACAGAACTGACCCATCATAGTTATAAAACCCATGAGTACAGACTTGTTAATAATATTCTTTTATCAGCCTTTTAATGCCCATGAGATCAGCAGTGATGTCTCATTTCTGATATTGGTAACTTGTTTCTTTTCTCTTCTTGGTTAGTCTAGCTAAAGATCAGCTAGTCTTTCCAGAGAACCAGCTTTGAGTTTTATTGATTATGTCACATCTCTCTTCATTGCTAAAAACTTTCCTCCCTGAAGGCTGTGCTGTGTGAAGTTAACACAGCTCCTCCAGTCACTTTCTCTTGAATAGTGTCAGTGTGGCACACCCTCTCCATCTCTTTACTGCTAATCTTGGTGTTTGTACATTTCAAGTTGGCTTCTGGAAGACAAAACATAGTTGGGTGGTGGTATTGGGAGGTGGGCTGGGTGGCAATTGGATCGAGAGGTCAGAGGCCTGTGAGGGGATCATTGTCTGTCTGGCTCCCTCCTGAAGACCTGGAGGCGCCACATGGGAGGAACTGGCCCCATAGACCCTCATCTCCCAGCACCCCATCCCAGACCTTTAGTCTCTAGAGCCACGAGGCAGAACCACCTGCTGTTTACAAGCTGTTTGGGGATTTTGTTACGGCAAAACCTGGAGCTTCTGGGCTAAGGCAGGCCAGCCAGGTGCTGTGAGGGCTCAGTCTCTGCTGAACCTGTAGACTGGGTCCTGCATATGTGGCAGGTGGGTGGTGACGGGCATGCGGAAGGTGAGATGCCCAGAATGGGGTCAGGGCTAACTCCACCCGCATGAAGGCCTCTCTGCCTGATGTTAAGGGTGAGTGAGTGAGCAAACAGCTGCCCGTTGCTGCCGTGGGATGGGGCTCGGAGATGAAGGGAGCTGTGTGGCCACATCCCGTTCCATGGGGGAAACTTTAGTGTATTTTTTTGGTAAGAAGCCAGTCTGAGACTTCTCACCATGTGATTCTGAGTCTGTGAGGTTCTGGAAAAGGCAAAACTAGGTAACAGTACAAAGATCAGTGGTTGTGGGGCAGGGGGTGAGTCCGCAGAGCACAGAGCATTTGTGGGGCAGTGAGGATGCTCTCACGGCACTGTGAGGAGGGCAGTGTCTCACCATGGCAAGGGTGCTGTCTCCCTGTGGTATGGGTGATGCTGCCCTGTGATGAGGGTGATGTCACTCTGTGGCGAGGGTGACATCGTGCTTCGCCACAGCCCAGAGAACTTCAGAGTAAGCTCCTGACTCTTGGTGGTAGTGACGTGGCCATGGGGATCCTTCACGCCAGCTGTCAGTGGTAGGGGATGCTGTAGGGGTGGAGACAGGTACATGGGAACACTGTACTTTCTGCTGAATTTTCTGTAAACTTAAATTACCTTAAAAAGTCTATTTTATTTTTAATAATGAAGGCCTCTTTCCCCTGACCCCTGTCGGTTCCGCTGTTCTCAGGGGTAACAGCAGCACAGGTCCTGGGCTTCTTCTCAGGCATTGGCTGTCTTGTGGCAGCTGCCACCTCCCTCCTTTAGGCTCCTAGAACATGGTGGACTCTGCAGCCTGTTAAAGAACAGTGGCCACTTCTGCACCTGCACGTACCTGGTGTGGGGAGGGCTGTGGGTGTCCATCCTGGAGGGTCTGGCTCAGGAGCTCTGTCCTGGACAGTCTGTCCCATGTCCTGTGTCCCATGTGTATATTCCTTCTCCATGTCCCCATCCCCCGTCCCCTGTCCATGCCCTTCTCCACGTCCCCCTTCCCCGTCCATGCCCTTCTCCAAATCCCCCGTCCCCCGTCCATGCCCTTCTCCACATCCCCCTCCCCCGTTCCTGCCCTTCTCCACCGTCCCCCTCCCCCATCCATGCCCTTCTCCAGGTTCCCCTTCCCCTTCCATGCCCCCTCTCCACATCCCCCA